CCCTAATTCTCATTACATATAATATTTTAATATTATATTTTAAATGTTATATTATATATTATAAATAAATATTATATCATAAAAATATGATATTTTCAATATTACAGAGTAGAGCTGTATACTTTTTCTAACTCCTAGCAATTGTCATCCGTGCAGCAAAAAAAAAAAAAGAAAAGAAGAATGCAAGTGGTACATGTTATCATGTTCAATGTCCCTGTTACCATGCTCAGTGTTAGAAATGTCAGCTGAGGTGTAAAGATCAGGAGTGTGTGCGTGTATGTGTGTGTATGTGTGCGCGTGGTCCTGGCTTACTCTCCAGTTCTTCATGGTTCTTTGTTTTTGTGACCTAACATCCCCACCCTACTCCATATCTTTTTTGACCTTAACATTGTTTTAAATTGAGGTATACTTTTCACCAGTGAAACACACTGGTCTTTCATGAGCAGTTTGATGGGTTGATACTTGTGTGCATGTAACCTGGGTACCCATATAATAAGATCACTGCCACCACTCCACAAAGACCTGTCATGCTCCTTTCCAGTCAACACCACTCCTACCCGAAGACAGTCACTGTCCTGATTTCTTTCATCACAGAGAAGTGTACCCTGTTGGAACTCTTTGAATTAACGTAATCACACAAAATGTTAAGATTTTGTGTCTGGCTTCTTTCACTCAGCATCATGTTTTTGAAGTTCATGTTGTTGACTACAACTGATTCTTTTTTATTACCTAGCATCATTTCATTCTGTGAGTATGCCAGGTTGTTTACATTTTGCTGTTGGTGGAAATTTGGGTTGTATCCAGTTCGGGACTATTAAGAAAACAGTGGCTGTGGACATTTTTGTATAAGTCCTTCAGGGGACACATGTTTTCTTTTCTCTTGGGTAAATACCCAAAAATAGAATTTCTGGGGCTTGGGGGTAAATATAGGTTTAACTTTATGGGAAACTGCCAGATCTGTTACAAATGTTACAGTGATGCTATTATTTGATATGCTTATCAGCAATGGATTGCTCCATATTCTCAACATTTGCTAGTTTTAGTCCTTGTCATTTTAAGCCTAAAATATCTCTATTTTAAATCTTATACCAAAGAATTAATTTTAAATAAGCAAGCAAATGAATAAAAAAAAGACTCCTTATGCCAAAGATAAGCATATAAGATGAATCAAGTTCAGCATGAATGAATAAAAAAGATGAGATGGTATCAAATTTAATATCAACTTAAACAACTGTTCAAGAAGGCTACCAGTTGTAATTCAAATGCTACCTGTATTTATTATGCATAGATGCAGATTCATGTCCCCATGTTTTTGCTTATGCTGTTCCCTCTGCTCCCTCTGAATGTCCCTGCTTCTGCTTATCATGTTGATTCATCCTTGACCTTTAAAAGAGGTTTTGGAGCAGCCTTCCCTAATGCCCTTTCAATCCAGGGGGTTGGGAGTACCTCTTGCAGGCTTCTAATATACCCAAAGACTATTTCAATTACAGAGTTTATCACATTCTACCTATGTGTCTGTCTCCCACACTTGATGACAAGTTCTTTGAAAAAGAGGATTTGTTTTTTATTTATCTTTGTATCAAGTGAGCATTACAGGTATTCAGTCAATGAAGTTCCTTGAGTCACTGAATATATTCTTTTTTTTTTCAAGCTTTTTTTTTTAATAATTTTTTTATTGTTATGTTAACCACCATACATTACATCATTAGTTTTTGATGCAGTGTTCCATGATTCAGTGTTTGTGCATAACACCCAGTGCTCCACGCAGAATGTGCCCTCTTTAATACCCATCACCAGGCTGACCCATCCCCCCACCCCCCTCCCCTCTAGAACCCTCAGTTTGTTTTTCGGAGTCCATCATCTCTAATGGTTCGTCTCCCCCTCCGACTTACTCCCCTTCATTCTTCCCCTCCTGCTATCTTCTTCTTCTTCTTCTTCTTTTTTTTCTTAACATATATTGCATTATTTGTTTCAGAAGTACAGATCCGTGATTCATCAGTCTTGTACAATTCACAGTGCTCACCATAGCACATACCCTCCCCGATGTCTATCACCCAGCCACCCAATCCCTCCCACTCCCCACCACTCCAGCAACGCTCAGTTTGTTTCCTGAGATTAACACTGAATATATTCTTAACAATACCGAATCACAGCCTAGGAAGAAATACCCTTTGGATAGCCATATGCATGGGAGTTTGGATTGGAAGAGATGGGGAGGAAGTGATAGCTGAAAGATTCTGAAAACCAGAGTTCAGATAATTTTGTCTTTAAGGGGGGGATAAGTAGGGAGATGACAGTCTTTACCAATAGATAACAGAGGCCCAAAGAGTAAGCTGTTGGGTGGTCTGAGTCATTCGAGATTAAAACAATTTTGAAAACAAAATGGCCACTAAATTAATTTAGTTCAAATCTCTCAAGTTATAACACAGAAACTCAATACCAAATAGCAAAACATAGAATTATTGGAAACAAATGGTTTGTCTTAAGCCGCTCCTCCTTATTTCCCTAGCTTCATTTCGTGTCTTCCTGGAATCTTCTCTATCCAACCTCACCCCACCATCTCCCTAGCCCTCTGATTTAGGCCATGATGTTCCCCTCTCTTTTTCAAAAATGTACCAGAACAGGTACCAATACTGCCAAAGAGGGATAATCCAGTAAAATACTTTAAGCAAGGTAGTAATAATTCATTCAGCCTAGTATATCTGCCAAGTTTTTTATTTCTTGCATACTGGCTCAGCCCTACCACACATGAACTCTGCTGAGACACTCACCATCCGAAAAGCATTAGCGTCATCCCAGAAATTAATGACAACTAAATGACAAGAAAATGACAAGAGTTTTGGGGCATAAGAATTCAGAGGGAACCTCCTACTTGCTTGTCAGCCTCTGGCACAGCTGGCTGATGAGTAGGTCATTTGCAAGCAAAACTAGGAAAGAGAAACTAAAACCCATAGCAAGCAGATCCTACAAACGTCCAAGTCAGTGCAGAATGTCAAGGCTCTGGGGCCTGAGCATCTGGGTACCTGCCCGCAGTGCCGTCCTAAGGCACTAGGAAGCAGGATACCTGAAAAGCAACCAAGGTCTAGATTGGCCCTAAAGCTACCTTGTTAGGTAATAGATCATGTGTCACTTGTCTGGGGAGGAAACTCAACTGGAAAAGCCCAACTGAATCAGCTTAGGATTAGGAATCTTGGAGAAGGTAGCTCTGAGTAGAGCAGAGGATGTCAAAGCACCTGCCGAGTCCTCAGTTCACCCTTGGGGGGCACCACCAATGCTCGATTACAGATCACACACACACAACCAAGGACAGAGGTGCCGGCAGCCACTGTGGTTTTTCCATGCAGGCTGAGAAGCGACAACTCCACCTGTATTGCAAGTCCCTGGGCAGATGGGAGCATCTGCTTGGGGCGCACTCTGTAGGGTCAAACAGATGTGGCTCCAAAGGTGAAAAGAACACATTACAAAATGCAGACTACAGTTTTATATATATGAACCTGAGCTGGGAAAAAGAATGGAAAGCAGGCTGGAGCTTGATGGGTAGCTTCTGCTCTGCCTTCCGGGAAGATTTGAGTAGCAGCCGACCTCAAGGAGCCTCTTGGTTTCCTTCTGAAGTGTCACACTGGCCCAGAAGCTGCTGTTCAGAGGAACGAGGCTCCCAGTGGCAAACACAGGCTTCTGCCTGTGCCTTAGAGTGAGGCAAAACACCTGCTTCTGGTACTTCTTGAAACCCAACGTTCGAGCTCTTTTAAGGGCCTTTGGGTCATCAACCCTCAGTCTGCAATCATGGAAAATACCCTCCTTCCCTCCTTACACACGCATACACACACATACACACCCCCTCGCCCGTCTTGCCTACAGCAGGGTTTTGGTTTCATGTGTGGCACAAGATCCTAGCATAACAGGGTTTCGGTGAGGATTTCAGAGGACCTAGCTCTTCTGATTGTAGCTGGGGACAGGCAAAGGACAGAGATTGGGGACCCAAGGCAGGCAGGAGGCAGGGAGCAGTTGGAGGGTTACTGAGGAGCCGGTGGAAGTTCCAAGTTAAGCCTGACCACAGGGCACAAAACAAGGCAGTGACTGCCACAGAGCCTGAAGCACCAAGTGGCAGGTATAAGAGGGTCCATGGTGTGCGGGAAGAAATATTAGAACCTATATTTATAGTCTACATATTTATGTTCTATAACATTATATTGTATCGCTTTTTACTTCTGTCTTCAGCATTTAATATGTTTTATAACTTACATAATACACTAGTTTAGTGGTGTATGAATACACTTTATAGAAATAAATATGTCTGCATTGGGGCATGTGCTCAAAAATGGGGAGTAACAGGGAGTGTGATCACTAGCAGTGGATGCTGAGGGCAGCATAGTTTCCTCTCCTCCACCTCCTAGTCTCTGAGTTGACTCTTACACATGCACAGACTGACCAGTTGCCCCTGAAATGCTCCCAAGGAGATTCCAGTGCCCAGGCCCGGAGCTGGGATAAGTCTTTGTTATACAGAATGAACTAACACCGTCCTGAGAAAGGCCTTTGCTCTTTCGGCGGATGTTCTACACAGAGATTCTCATATACCCTAAAAAGCCTGTCGCCAAAAGAACCATCAGACAGGAAATAAAGATTATGCATAAAACAAAACTGTGAGACAGCATAAACACCCACAGAAGAAATCACTTAACTGTAATAAAACCAGAAATCATCCTGGAGAAATGCAACCACGGGTTGAAGGAGCGAAATGAGTGAGATCAGAAAGGAGTGAAAGGCTAGCTGTTTCTTTTTTAATAAGCAGGGCTACTTTCACTGGGGCCTCTTTTAAGAAAAATTTCTTTTCAGTGGGTTGAGGTTTACACAAAACTATGGGATTTCTTTGAGGGAATGTTTATCTTCTTGTGAACATTTAACTCCAGTGGCTAAACGTTGGGATTATTTCTATTCGGCATAAAAAGCAATGTGTTACGATCTGTAAATTCATTCAATAGTAACTCAAGACCTCCTCCTACCTTTGTAGGACTTGAGAGGAAGTAAACGAGTTTAAAATCGTTAAGAAATCCAGATAGGCTTTTCCATAATCGCTTTGGTATGTAGTCTGCTTCTTTTTGCATTCTTGATTCCTCATGTGGCTGTATAGCACAGCAGGGGACACAGGGGAAGGAAAGACATGGAGGCTGTCACTGAGCAAAGAATTCCTGCCCTTATTTGCCAAATGCGCTCCCAATAGCCATGAGCCCCACTTGGAGCTTAATGAGCATCCTTGAGGTACTGGAAAGCGAGGCACAGTAGGAGTAACTCCTCCCACGATTCAGGCTATGCAGAGCTGCTGTGACTCAGGACGGTCGCTGCTAGCAGTGGGGGTGACTGGGGCTGATGGCCAGAAACTCAAGTGTGACTACCATTCTCAGAAAAGTTCTCCCTGAAATCGACTCTTCTGCAGGTCAGCATGTTGGGATAGTAGCACTCACTACCTCCTTAGTAAACAAATGCCTTCATAGAAGCTTCTTTCCCTTTCGTACCATCTCCTGGGCAGACATGGGCTGACACACTGAGGAGTCCCTCAGGGACCCAGGTGAGTGCAGATGAGCAGTGATGATATGTCCATCCAGCACTCATTGCACATTCAGACTAATAACGGTATCAGGTGCAAGCAAAACCTAAGTCATTTATGTTTGATTCTGAGTATTGCTCATTTAATGTGGGTTCTGATAGTCACAGAATTATCATGACAAAAAGAAAAAGCAATGAAAACATGATGTGAGGACCTAATGTCTACAACATGCCCAATCTTTGGAAATCTTAAGGACACCTTAAATACTGCTTTTGGTTCCAGGTGTCCCCTTTACAGGGACCACCAGCCGGTGGGAGGAAGAGACTGGTGAGGGTACTTTGATGCTACATCCTGAGAAGAGTGTTTATAAGGTCTGGAAATGTCTTAAGAAGAGAATATGGAAGATATGTAGTAAGATTTTCATAGAATAATTTATACAAGTTAACCTCTGTAGGAAGAAGTAGAACCAAAGACAAAGTTTATGCAAGAGAGTTTCCAGATGTTGAGAACTTTCCAACAGTATCCAAAAATGAAAGAGTTGCCTTGGGGGGGCACTCCCCCAACGAGTGACGACATCACCCCTTGGCAAGGACGGGATAGAGGGGATTCCCACGTGGTGTGAGGATCTAGACGAGGTGACTTCTAGGCTGTCTTCTAACCTCGAGATGCTAAGTTTCTATCCCGTGATTTTTGTCTGCAGCGCTACTTGATTCCAACTCCGTGCCAGGAATAGATCACTATCTCAGACTGACACCAAATTATACTCTTAACTAGTAGCGTCGAGGTGGCTTGGCCATGGAACTTTTAAAAACCTTTTTGTTGAAAACAATAGGAATCAGGATCATAAAAGATCACTTGAATAGAATGGTTGTCAAATTTGAAGATGCTTGATGGATATACCATGTGGTTAAGCTTCCAGTGGATAATTGACAAGTCTAATGTGAGTCTTACCCAGTCTCTTTTTTGGTCATTTGATAGCAACGAAGTCCTTCCTTTTGTTTTATAAAGGGGAAGCGTCTGCCAATCCCAACAACTGCTTCCACCCTCCCCCATTACCCCACCTTCCCCTCCCCCGCCGCCAGGCAGAGCAGGTATTCATTTCATAGCATAAGCAATCAGTTGTTTTCCAAGGCTTACTCATTCCCTGGTTTGAAGCTAGGCAGAGTTTTGATTCCTTGCAGGAATGCAGGGATCGCTGGCATTCTTCATAATCGTTACCAAGATTACCTGCCAGGGCCCCGTGTGCCGAAGAATCTTGGAACAAGGACAGAATCTATGAGGTTGCTTTAAAAGCTACAGGTGTACTTACCTAGACCCTGAGAAGCAACTGGTAGGCTTGAGTAGCATCCATATTTGAAACTAGAATCCTGCAACTCAGGAATTTTAGCTGGAACTTGGTAATTCCGTCGAAATTCAGTGTCTGCAGGTCGGGGAAGTAACTTTTTCCATTCCAGAGACATGGGAGAACTTTCCTTAATCTTCTGAGCTGGGGTGGGGTTACAATGCAGAAGTCCTTGTAAGCTATTTAAAACAACATCCTATTTTCCCATTTTGCTTCTGGCAGTACCTTCCAATTGATCACACTAAACCTGCTCTTTTTGTATTTAGAGGTACAATCAATGTAGTTTTCATGGATATTTCAACCAAGAAATAACTTTCTGGTTTATCAGACACAGGAAGTGTACGCTCCAACGATAGAAGCAGCTTCTAACGAAGATATCCTATATCAGTTAGGGGGGCTCTTTTGCTCTGCTGGGTGACACAGACATTCCTCTTTCCAGTAGGCCTGCCTAGTCCCTGGGGCAGGGGTGGGGAGCAGAGTGAGAGATTTTATTTTATTTTATTTTTTAAAGATTTTATTTATTTACTTGAGAGAGAGAATGAAAGAGAGAGAGCATGAGAGGGGGGAGGGTCAGAGGGAGAAGCAGACTCCCCGCTGAGCAGGGAGCCCGATGTGGGACTCGATCCCGGGACTCCAGGATCATGACCTGAGCCGAAGGCAGCCGCTTAACCAACTGAGCCACCCAGGCGCCCAGAGTGAGAGATTTTAGATAAGGCTAGGGTTGACATATAAAACATAAGATGCCAGTTAAATTTGAATTTCAGATAAATAATGAATAATTTCTTGGTATAAGTGTGTATAAGTGCTCATTGTTTATCTACTATGTATAATTATTCAAATTTAACAGGCCATCCTATATTTTTATTTGTTAAATCTGGCAGCCCTAGATGGGACAGTGCATATCATTAATTTTCCATTACCTGGCAAAGAACCACTTGAAGCTTATCCCTTACTGCTGGAGGGTTAGGTAACATTGTTGTCATTGGTGGACAATAGCACTATTATTTCTTTGAAATCACTCTGCTAACAACTAGTCATTAAATATGTAATCATTGAATATCTATGAAGCACTGACTGAATGCCAGTTTCCACAAGCACTACCAGATAATAGAGGACTTGCAAGCCATCTCCCTTAGAATGAGTTCATCCTTAATCCTTGCCATCAAGTGTTGGTTCAGAGGCACATCATATAACACCAACTTTATTCAGGGCAAAAGTGTTAAAGACATGGATACCATGCACTATATCCAAACAGTGCCAATTACTGTTGAAACTAAACTTGAATCTTGTTCTGAATTCATTTTTCAATAGGTCTTTTCAAGATAAATTCAAATGTACATCAAACAATATATCATGTTATCTACTGACATCCAAGAGCATTTTAATATTGATTTTTAAAAAAAGATTTCTGTCTAGACCAGAAGAGTGAGAGAAAGTTTCACTACATGCTGCCTCTTCATTTAGATGACTCAGGAAAAGAGGACGTGATATTCAATGGGCCTCATAATGACCTCATACACTGCCCAAGGAGAAGACAGGGTTATAGAGAAGAGGCAACTCTAGGGCTTAATATCAGGACATCCCTTAAGATACTTTGGAAAATCATCTGGTATTGTTCCTGATAAGCACCGTCTATAACTTGGTTTGTGTAAATTGCTAATAGCTTTACAGGAGAAAAACAAATTCCTGTTGAAGTACTTGATATGTATGCTTATCCTTCTTCCCTAGAGCTACCACTCAATAACAAATGTTTTCAGTTCTTATATGTGTTCTGTGCCAAAATTAAATATAATGTAGTCATTGTTCTACCTTGATACAACCTCACCCTAGTGTGATTAGAAAGATACATACAGGACAAACAGATATGGAATGTGATGTCTTGTAACCCTAACACTTGAAACCATGGTTCTCACATGGAGATAATACATCAGACTTACCAAGGAAGGTTTTTACAAAACATATTTGCTGAACCTCATCCCAGACATCGAGAAGCTCTAGAAGTGGGGCCCAGGCACTTACACTGAGAACAAGCTTCCCATATGTTTAAGAATCACTCCCTCAGAGCCTTCAATAGGTGCTACAGAAGGCCAGAGAGCATACAATGAGCTCCGTTAGGGGAGGGAAGGAAGACAGGAATTAAAAGGCAGACATAGCAAAGGATGCGCTTTGATGATGTGTCAACACTGAAGCAAAAGGTGCGCAGTGTGTTTTTGAAGTATGGTCTGGCTGGCAGGAGTATAAGATATGCAGGGCAGGGAGAAGTAGCTGAGGGTGAAGCAGGAGAGGTGAGGAACCAGTTTGCAAAGCGTCTTGAGGGGCTGGTCCACGTAGAGCATGATGAACCAGCATAGTGGAGCAATTGGAGATGAAGACCCAGAAAAGACAAAAATCAGGGCCCTAGACTTGCTGAGTTCCTTTGAAGATAAAGATTGTCTTACTCTTCATTGTTACCTTAGCACTTATTACAGTAACAGACCTCATTAAATGTTTATCAAATTAATGAGGGAGTGAAAGAAAAAATCAGGAATAACCTGAACCACACTCTAGTGACTATGTGATATATGCTTACGGTAATCTTTAGTTCTTCTCAACTAATGTTTTTATTGCCTTTATAAAATTTCATGTTAATGAGTTCCTTCAGCATTATTAAGAAGAGAAGTTCTTGATACAAAGGATCCAACCAACTCCTGAAGTCCCTATAGTGGTACTGAAGTTTGGACAGACAGGATTACCATGACTCAGGGCTAAAGAGAACCAATGCTAACAGCACCTCCAAGGCCTGGACTCCTCCCAGGGAGCCATCCCTGTTCCTCGGGAGCTCACCTCCCACTGTTTCTTTTCCTCTTGATAACAGTGATACGACACTAAAGTAGCTATAACCCAAAGAGAGAAACTGGCCCATTAAAGATTAGTGTGGCATTTGTAGAAAGGCCCAGTTCAAAAGTACATCTACAGCAAGGACTGTTCCAAACCACTGAGACCACTGGCCACATCATCTACAGTCAAGTGAGAACTAGTTCTGCTGTCCCAGTTCATCAAAGCCAAGTTCTCCAAGTCTGAATGTGAAACAAGCACCCTTCAGTGCTTCTCACTCATTTGCCTTAATACCATAATAAGGATACAAAGATAAGATATGGTCCCTGTGTTTCAAAAGCTTAAAGCATTAGAGAAACAGGTGCAATAAAAAGAGAATTACAATATTAGATGATAAACGCTGTAAAAGAGATTAGAATAAGATCTTGGAGGATCAGAGGATCAGAGAAGATTCCCAGGAGAGAAATGAAGCCTATATTTAGACTTAACTTATGGGTAGACATAGGCTAAAAGAAGGGAGGGACAGGTGTTCCATAGGAAGGCAGTGTGTGCAAAAGGCACAAGGCTGCCAGAGGCATGGTGAGTCCGGAGGAAGGAGGGCAGTGGGTCTCATGGAGAGTGTGGGGGGTGGCAAGGGAGAATGCTGGCATGGCAGGCAGGAACCAGATTGCACAGACTCACATTAAGGCATTTAGCTTTTATCCTGAGGACAATGGGGAGTCACTGAAGGGTTTTCAGCTGGAGGGTGATATCAATTTGCACATCTGGAAACTCGCTATGACTATAGGATGGGCTGTGGATTGGAGGTGACAAAACTGGAAAAGGGAGCTGGATTAGAGGTCATCCAAGGAGGAGACACGGGTAGCAGTGGCTTTGGGGAGGAAGAGAAGCAGATGGAGCTAAGAGATTTAGGAGAGACTCTTGGCAGGTCTTGGGTATTTATCTACACATGGGGAAATGGTAATTTGTGCACACTGAAAGGACCTTGATTAGAAGCTCGAAGACATCTTTTAAGAATGCTGACATTTCAAATGTCTTCCCATCACCCTTAATGTTTATCTGAAGTATGGAGGTCTTTTGATTCTGTACTCATCTAACTTCAAAAAGTACACTTCCCATATATTTTTTCCATCATTCAGCAAATATTTACAGAGCATCTCCTCTACACCAGGACTAGATTATATATTTTGCACTAGATTCTGAGTGAATAAAGGCCTTTGGGACACCCACTGAATAGTGAAGGAAAGAGCAAAACAAAAACAACAAACAAGAATCAGTAAACAAACAACTGAAAATGCAAGGCCCTAGAAGGTAACAAATGAGGTGGTGGCACACCGCTTCAGATAAAATAGTAAGGAAAGCTCTCATAGGCAAGGTGACATTTAAGCTGGAGTCTATAAAATGACACAGTAAAATCACAGAAGGAGCTGGGAGAAGAACAATGCAGGCAAAAGGGACAGCCTGCACACTGGCTGAAGGTGGGGGGAAAAAATTGGCATCCTATAGGATTTAAAAAAAGGCCCATGTGGCCAGAGCCTGGTGAATGAGGGGGATGGGGCGTGAAGGAACACTGAGGAGGGAAGCAAAGTCTAGACCAGACTTGCAGGACATTATGAACAGAGAGAAGGAACTGAAACTTGGATTTTATTCAAAGTGCAATGCAAAGCCAGTGAAATAAAGCAATAGAATAATATGATCCAGTTTAGATTCATAAAAGATCATCTATACCATATTTGGCTCCTCCTTTCCCAAATTTCACCAGAATGATAGTATATTAGAGGTTAACACATTTTTAGAAGATGGAAATCAAACACAGATGTGCCAAATGAATTAACAAAGTAGAGGAAGCTAAAACTAAGTGACTGCCGAAGGGGATAACCAAACAGTGAGCTAATCTATACTATAGAATGCCAACAGGCTTCTGTAACAGGTACAGGGGAAGGCAGGTACTGCAGCTCAGGCTGAAAACAAGAGGCTTGGGTGAAAGCTTATATACAGAGTGAATAGAGTTCCTGTGCCATCCTCTTAACTTCATGTAGTCATTTGGCCATCCTTTCCTAACCAGAAGTTTATTAGGTGCAAAACTGAACCAAAGAAGCTCTGGATGCCAGGATGTCAGGCACAGTGGAAGGTAGGTGTAGTGGGATGCTGAACAGGAAAAAGAAGTGTTCAGTGAGAATCTGCACAGCATGCAGGAAGATCCCAGTTACCTCCCCAATCCTGCTCTCAGAATGCCAACAGCCAAGTGTTTATCTCCCTGAAGAAACTGACCTTTAAATACAGGCATTTGGGGGTTTCCCAACAAAAAGAGAGCTTATCAACTAACCCCCTAAATCAAGCACCAGCTAACAAACCCCATCTCTGTAGGTAGCTTCCAATCAGATTTGAGTATCTCCCTTGTAGGTCTTGTGAACCTTAGAGATTAATATTTTGCATACTCTCACTTCAAGAAAAAGAAGTGTCCACAGAATTGAGACAAGTTTTATTAGCATGATAATAAATCTGCCTCTGCTCTCTTGTAAATATGAAAAGACTAAATTTTCATTAGACCATTAAGATGCTCAGAGAAAATAGAGACAAAGCAAGGAATAGATGAAAATGTTGAAAATTAAATATATCATAAATATCCTAAAATTTGTAAGAGAATTACTACATGTATAAAACAAGAACAGAATGCTGTTTAAAAACAATCATGTTGAGGGCAGGGGTCTATATATTGCAGTAAATATGCTTATTAATTTTATTCTTCAAACAAAAAAAAATTAGCAAGAGGAAGAACAAGAGCTTGGACATTAAAAATTCAATAGAAGAGCTACATTAAAAGGTAAAGAATTTTTCAAGTTAGCAAAAGAAAAATACAAAGAGAAAGATACTAGGAGAGAAAAGGTAAGAAAATTGGAGGATCAATCCAACTAATAGGAGTCCCAGAAGAGAACAGAGAAAAGAGATGGGAAAAAAGTAGGAAGGAACTATGCAGGAAACAATGCCCAGAATTGAAGGACATGACTCTAGCTTCTAGAGCCCCTGAATGTCCAACATAATCAATGACAAAAGATTCTTACTAATGCATACAGCTGTGAAATTTAGGATGTCAGGAATAAAGAAAGGATCTTAAGCGCTTCCAGAAAAAAAAAAAAAAATACAACAGGGTCAGGAACCAAAATGGCATCAGTCTTCGACAAATAAATTCTGGATGTTAGAAGACATTTGGAGGAATGGATTCTAAGGGAAAGTGATTATCATCCTAGAATTTTATATCCAGCCAAACTATCAGACAAGAGCAAGGAAGAAAAAAAGGACATTTCCAAATAGGAAAGAACACATTCAAAAAAGTTCCTCCCAGGTACTCTTTCTTAGGAAACTACTGGAAGATGTGCTTCAGCAAAACCAGGGAAGAGGGACAAGAAAGAGGAAGAGGAAACAAGATCCAATGCAGGCAGGCAGAGGCCAAAGCAATTCCCAGAATGATGAAAAAGGAAGTCCCATGGCACTGTTGGGCAGCAAACCCACAGAAAAACCAGTCTAGATTAGAGGAGAATGATGAAGGGTGTCAGAAAGATCATCTCTGGGAAAAATACTGGAAGTGGTAGAGTGTTTGAAACTGTGTTTGGAAAAAATCCTGGTAAGTATGTGACAAAGTATTTGGAAAAGATTAGTGACAGGAACATATAAGACTAAGCATATGAAAAAAAAATTCAATTATTAACTCTGGTAAAAAAACAAAACAAAACAAAACAAAAAAACAAAAAGGAAAGGAAACAATCATAAAATCACCACCTGGCTCAGCAGTGAATGTTCACATAATCATATCATCCTATCATCACAATATAAACATTAGCAATTGAATTAAACAAGAATTTGTAATATAATTATTGACAGAATGGATGGAAGGGGTGTGAGAAAGAGTTACAAGAGAGCCAAATCCTCAACCACCATAACAGGAAGTCAATAATAATGTCTAAAATTGATGAATCAAAAATAGCAGTATATGCATATTATTTTAAAATATGGAGGATTACATAAGAAACAGTTGAAAGGATTGAGTTGATTACCAATGGGGTCAAAGAACTGCTGTTATTTTGTAATAAGCCCTTATGTTACTATTTGATTTCACTGTATGCATGCATCAGTTTAATAAAAGTAAGTTTTAATTTTTAAAAATAGCAATAGAGATGAACCATGAGACACTATGGACTCTGAGAAACAAACTGAGAGTTCTAGAGGGCAGGGGGTGGGGGGATGGGTTAGCCTGGTGATGGGTATTAAAGAGGGCATGTACTGCATGGAGCACTGGGTGTTATACGAAAACAATGAATCATGGAACACTACATCACAAACTAATGATGTAATGTATGGTGATTAACATAACAATAAAAAAATTTAAAAAACTAATGATGTATGGTGACTAACATAACATAATAAAATTTAAAAATAAATAAATATAGCAATAATTGGAAACAGCATGTTTAACTTGACCCCTTCATCTTTGTCACGTTCTTTCATCCTCATTTTTCAGGCCAGGAAGGCCTTTCCTTTAGGCTACATGTCCTACAGCATGCACCCACAGCATTTCCCACATGGTCCACCTTTTCATACTTGACTGTCTTTGTTTGCCAAATTGCCTTTTCCTGTGTCTATACTGTGAGTTCCTTGAGAGAAGAGACTGCATCTGTGCTGTTTACCCTTGCAACTCCAGTGTACAACACATAACCAGGAAAAGGAGAAAAATGAACATGTTTACCTTTTGCTCTGTCCACAAAGTCTCTTTTAGTATTGGAAATAAACTGATTTGATATTGCCTTCCTAACCTCTTCCTCTGTAGCGATTTTCCAAGGGAGGTAACTCTTTATTGATGCTGCTGGTTGACCTTGAGGTAGTGTCCAGAGAAAGAAGTCCTATCAATACAAACACAATTTTTAAGAAAATCCACATGGGTTCCCCTAATGGAATGAAGACTCTCTGTGTCTGCGTGTACATATTCTTCTGGGTCCTTTACACCCAGCTACCACACTGCAATGTATGCAGGAGCCTGTCAACAGGAACCATCAGTTTACCCAGCTGTAACACAGGTACTTTGTAATTTCTTTGACTTTTCATATTGAGACAAGAAAATGTGACTGCAAAATCCAGAGTTGTACCTGCAACCAAAAATCTCCAGCCAAGACCAGAGGAGAAGACCCATGCTAACTCTGGCTCTAAGTGCCCAAGCAGACAGCTGCTGCTTCCACTCAGAGCCCCAAGCTTTGAGAGACACCCTGCCTCCCATGGAGAGGCCTCAGAATCAGCCTGTAGGAGGGGGAGGGCAGGCCCTTTCTCCTCTTTGCCTGCAAAGGAATTTTATGATTATGAAACTTGAAACCTTCAGGACCTCTTTCCACCTTCCCACTCTCTCATAACCTTGCTTCCTATTTCCCTGAGAAAACTGAAGCCATCTGACGAGAACCTCCATACATAGCCTACCACACTGCCACCCAGCCACCACATCTGCACTCACTTATGCTGTGATGGGAATGGAGTGGCAGGTGCTCCTAGCAGGGCCCACCACATCTGGTACGCCACAGCCCCCTGCCTTTGGTCTACTCCGGCCCATGACCCCCAAAATTCTCACTTCTCTCTTGCAACTTCCATTTCTCCCTCTCTTTGGGGTCATGGTCGTCAATATCCAAGCTTGCCTCCATTTCTCTTAGAAGAGAAAACTCTCTCTTTATTCTACTTTCCCCTCTAGTTATTAAGATATTTCTCAGTCTGCCTTTATATTAAAATTCCCCAAAATAGTTACATATATTCCCTGTCCCCAAAATGTGTCTTTTAAGTGTCTTTTAATCTTCAGGGCCCCTCCCCATCCCCTTCTTTCCCTTATAATCTATTGAAGAAACCAAGCCATTTGGCGTGTAGAGGTTCCCACACTCCAGATTGTGTGGAATGCATACTCATTGTGCAGGTTAAGTTCCCCTGTTCCCTGTATTTCCTGCAGTTGGCAGCTAGATCCAGAGACTGACTTACACTCAGAATAGATGCCTTTGGCAAGACTGTATTTGGCAAGGAGGATCATAACATACAGCTTTTTCTCTTTGTGTGATGTTAGCAGCTGTTGATGCTTAATGCCTAGATTAATGGATGCAAAGGGGTGACATTCCATCATTTCTTTTTCATTTGTTAGCTAAAATATGTTTATAAAGAGACACTTCCCTCATCTACCATTTAGCTTACCAGTGGCATAGTTCATATAGATAAGGCAGAAAAAAAGCTTGATTTTCCCCCCTTTGTCAGTTTTTAAGATAATGAATTGGTTTCTTATCCTCTGAAAGTGTCCCCGCTTTTTTTTTTTTTTACAGAACTCACAGATCTAAGCATATTTGGTGTGTTTCAATCTATTGCATACATTATCCATATAGAAGCTCAAGTGATTTTTAGCCTGTGGGCACCTCTTTAATTTTAATATAACTCTAGTAGTTTTTTATGGGATTTTTTCCTATGTGGCATGACATGATGTTTCCAGATTCATCTTGCATATTTTCTACCCCAGATCTGGACTCAGCCAGTTCTCCAAGAAGCCCTCCATCTCGCACTAATCAAGCATTCTTTCACCACAACTGCTCTTGTCAAGGCAACCAAGGAACTCTATTCTGCTAAAGTCAATGGCCAACTCTATCCTCATCTTCTTTGACCTGCCAGCAGCATTTCACACAGTGGTCAGTCCTTCTTCTTCATTTTCTTCACTTGGCTTCCAGTACAACACACTATGTTGGGTTTTATCCTTCACAACTGGCTGCCCCTTCTCAGTCCCTTTTGCTGCTTCTTCCGCTGGCCTCTTAATGGTGAAGTGCCTCAAGGTTCGGTCCTTGAACCTCTTTTCTAGCTTGATGATCTCATCCAGTCTTATTTTCTACCTGACTGCCCACACCTGGATGCATCATAATTGTCACCAAATATCAGCTGGCCCTTGTTTCCCACCACCTTTCCTTGAAGGAAACCACTAGTTCTACATTTTAACTCCCAGGGCAACTGTTCTTTAGCAGCAGATCCTCTCTGTTAGCAGAGAAGGAGCATCTTGCTAGTCTCATCCTAGTTCAGGCCCTGTGCCATAGTCAAAACCATTCAACAGAAACAATAAATGGCAGAGCAAGAGGGTTCAGCAGAGTAAACAATGCAGCACACCCTCAACTCAGGTCGAGGGGAAGAGCATTCACATGCTGGAGCGGCTTTGGTGTGGAACCCTTTGGTTGAAAGCACACAGGGCAGTCAGTCTGCCTCACTACCGCTCATCGGCTGAGAATGCACAGGACACCCTACCACTCTAGCTCTTGTTGGCTGGGAACCTTCAACGCACCTAAAGGGAAAATAAATGCTTTGTGTGTATGTGTGTGTGTGTATGTATACATACACAGTATAATACTGTAACTAACTGCTTTTCATTAATTTAAAATCTTAAGGCAAATATTTAAGGGGTAAATTCATTAAAATAAATGGGTGCCATGAGGAACCAAGTTAAATGGGGTATGTATGTTCTAATGATTCCCAAGTCTACATCTACAGCTCTCCTCTTCCACACAAACTCCAGACCTGTATATGCAACTGCTTGTTGGACATATTTTCAACCAATATGTTTTCAGCTGAACTCACATTTCCCCCACACTCTTTCCCACCAAACCTGGTCCTTCTCATGTTCCAGCTCAGGAAACAGCAGCAGTGTACACCCAGACGTCCAAGTCAAAAATGGAAACATCATCCTTCATTCTTTCCTCTCCCTTGTCCTTTATAATCTTTTCAGTCGCCAATTCCTGCCCATTCTACCACCTTATGATCTATTGAATGCATCCAGGTGGCTCCACCCCACGTGGCACCATGCCAGGGCAAAGCCAAGTAAATGAAATCCTTTACTACAATTGAGCATTGCTTTCTATGGTGGGAGAAGGCTATACAGTGCCAAGGACACAGAGGGAATATCAGTTACTTCCATCTAGAGGAGAAGCAAATTAGAGATAGCTCTCTTTAAGCTGCGTCTTAAAGAATGTATACATTTCCTTGGTGGACAGGAGAGGGATTCTAGATAAAGTAAACAAAATGACAAAAGATCTGGGAGCTTGAGAATGCATACTGCCAAACATAAATATTCGTGAGTGCCAGCATTACTGACAATAGTCAAAAGGTGGAAACAACTCCGATGTCCACCAGTGAATAAACGAATGAACAAACTGTGGTATACACATACAACAGAATATTATTCAACCCTAAATGGGAACCATAAAAAGAATGAAGTACTGATAGAAACTACAGTGTGGATGAACACTGAAAGCACTATACTAAGTGAAGAAACCAGACATGAAAGGTCAATATTGTATGATTCCCCATAAAAAATATCCACATAGACATCCACATAGACATTCACAGAGACAGAGAGCAGATTGGTAATTGCCAGAGGCTAGGGAAGAGGGAAGCAGGAAGTAATTTTTTTTTTTTTAAGATTTTTTAAATTCATTTGACACAGAGAGAGACAGCAAGAGAGGCAACACAAGCAAGGGGAGTGGGAGAGGGAGAACCAGGCTCTCCACTGAGCAAGGAGCCCGATGTGGGGCTTGATCCCCAGGACCCATGGACCATGACCTGAGCCGAAGGCAGACGCCCAATGACCAAGCCACTCAGGCGCCCCAGGAAGTAATTTCTTAATGGATGTGGGGTTTCCTTTTGGTATGATGGAAACATTTTGGAATGAGATAAAGGTGGTAGTTCCAGGACATTATGAATGTACTAATTGTCAGTGAATTCTTCATGTTAAAATGGTTGATGTTGGGGCGCCTGGGTGGCTCAGTCGTTAAGCATCTGCCTTCGGCTCAGGACATGATCCCAGGGTCCTGGGATCAAGCCCCGCATCGGGCTCCCTGCTCGGCGGGAAGCCTGCTTCTCCCTCTCCCACTCCCCCTGCTTGTGTTCCCTCTCTCGCTGTGTCTCTCTCTGTGAAATAAATAAGTAAAATCTTTAAAAAAAAAATGGCTAATGTTATGCCCTGTGAATTTCATTTCAATTTTTTAAAATCTTTTTAAAAATTTGGAGGATAAGGGAAAAGCGGTTAGAAATAAACGTGAGAAAGTAAACAAAACATAGTAGAAGAAGGACCATAACAACAGATGAAGGATTTTGGGGATATACTCAAACTCTCATTCTTATGGATTACTGGTACAGTATTAAATTCAAAGGATATGTAGATATTATCTTACTTGACTGGGGTGAGATTTGTGTCTGCTGATTCCTCCTGAAGTCCCGTTTTTGATCCAGTCTTCTTTAGAATATGTTTTCCAGACATACTCATCATTGTACTGTGTCTGATTGGGAATAGGGTCGCTTAGTGAATATGTATATCCTAGTCTTCTGATACTTTTTTGGCCATGAGAAAAGATAGTGGAAATCAGAATAAGGGATTAAATACCAAATCTCACAGCAGGACACATGTCAAATAATTTTGCTTATTACTTTTTTTTTTTTAAAGATTGTCTGGTTCAAGACTTGGTGCCAGAAATAATTTAATTTCCAGATTCCCTTGAAAAGAAACAATCCTGTATCTTAGAATGGCTCTTCACAAAAGTATGAGAAGCCTAAAATGGAATTTAAAAGAACAGCCATCTGAAATTCAATAATTTTTTTAATTAATTTTTTTAAAGAGCTGGTACTCTCCTCTATACACAGCACTCAAGGTAACCAAACACCTGGTGAAGAAATGTTTCTCTATGGAAGTGTTCCAGTTAATAAAAGGAAGATACAGAAGAACTGGGATATCACTAGTTTTCAAGGCCCTAATGAAACCATGCATCCAGGCAATGATCACCAGTTCCTACCCACAGTTCAAGAATAGGGTTCATCAGCTATCACGTGCCCTGGATAGACATACACAACACCTATTAAATATTTTTGTCAAAACACCCAGCTTGAACCAGATGAAGCCTTTGAAATAGTAGATTACAGGAAATACATGAAAAGAGGAATATTTTAAACAACACAATGGGGGTGGAAATCAGAAAAATCCAGAACAACAATCTGTTTCTTCAACAAAGAAATTCTCAGAAAAGAAAAAGAAGGGGAACTTATAGATTAAATGAGGTTAAAAAACAGTAACCAAGAGCAACGTGCAGAACATATTTGGATTTAATTTCTAACAGACTGGTTGTTGTTTTGTTTTGTTTTTTAATTATGAGACATTAGGGGAAAATTTGATTGCTGATTGGCCATTTGATACTAAGGAATTATTTCTTTTTGAGCTGAGACAATGGTATTGCATATTTTTAAGGAGTCCTTATCTTTTAGAGATACATAAAAACAATATTTGGAATTAAAATGATAAAATGCCTGGAATTTGCTTCAGCATTATCCAGCGGGAAGGCTGGGTAGAAGATATACATAAAGAGTGTCCATGTGTTGATTATTGTATTTGGATAATGGCTAGGGATTCATTGTATATTCTTTTGTGTATGTCTAAAATATTTCATATTGGCTTTTTCTTTAAAGAAGACTGGGTTGGACTTAAAGAAGCCTGGGTTTCTTTAAAGACAGCCTAGGTACTGTCTATAAGAAACCAAACATCTGGAAAGTGGGATACATCTGGATGATGGACTATTTTACTTGTCATTCCGATGTGTAGGCTCAGGTAGGACTGTGGTCCTGAATGAAACTGAAGTAATCAAAGGCACATGAAGATTTTCCAAAGGCAACACAGCACAGATAGCTTTAAAGGAGATGATTTTCAGATCTCCATCTCTCAGTGTACTCTTTCTTAACATGCCTCTGCCTGAGAACAAACCTCTATACCTACGCAGGTACTTTCTGTTCCCCATCTTTCTCTCATCCTCGTGTCATGGTCAGAGGCTACATAGGTGCCGGTACACCTCTGGGTATAAGCCTCCGACGGTGAGAGGGGTGCTTCATGAAGGGAAACTTTGTTACGTGGTTTCAGGGAAGGCACCTTGTAATCCAAATTCCATACGCTTACCTTGGACTTGCCTTTGCAGGTCTGAGAGGGTGAGGAGGGGGTAGGGAAGGGGGATGGCGGAGGGAGTGCATTGCTCTAACCAGGGCATGTGGTCTGTGTGGGGATGTCCTGAATTTCAGTACATTGTAGAATGCTGTGGCTAAGAGTAATGTTTAGTTTTTCATTTCCTAACAATTACAGAATGTTCAGCCCCCTTGAGGGGGGAAGCCTCTGAGAAGAGAGCAGAGAATATAGAATGCTTCAAATGACTCCACCACGTATTTAAAGTTAAACATTTTTTTCAGCTTAAAAAAAAATCCCTAAGACATATCATTAGCTAGAAAGAAAAGCATCTCTGAACAGGTACAGGGCAGCAATGCTGATTCTTTTGAATAGAACCGGAATCTTTTCTGAGACTAGCAAATTTGAAAGATTCACTGGGTAAAACTGGTACATAAAAATTTTGTTATTTTTTTCCTTCAGATTTTGTATTCATCAATCAGGTACTTAAGTCTTATTTTTTTAACACAAACATATTATGAAATATTTAATCCAATACAGCCAGTCCTCATTTTATCTATATTGTAAAATATGTAACAATACATGGCAGTATATGCTGGCTTGCCAGACCAATTAATTTTCAGCATGTAGAACTTTCTCTCTCATTAAATGCATAGTAAATGTTTGATTTGTATCTATGAGAGAAGATGGATGTTAGCTGAATCTATTGTGGCAATCTTTCACAATGTATGTAAATCAAACCATCATGCCGTATGTCTTCAACTTATACAGTGATGCATGTCAATTATTCCTCAATAAAACTGGAAAAAATATCAAACAAGTTTCTTCCAAGTAAAAGAGCAACTGATGTAATTTAATAGTCATTTGTTAAGATGTAGCTTTTCAGCATACTCTTCCAAAAATGAGTTAGGGAATAACTCAATAACTGGATGACATATCATCTAATTATTTCCTTTCAATAAAATCAAAAGACTAACCCAGCCAAGTTGTCAGCTGCTCAATCATAAAAATCACCTTGTAATTTTTGGCGTATAACTCAGGAAGAGTTCAAAGTCTTGAATGACAACACCACACTTAACTCCTTTCATTCACATCTACTTATTTATGTGAACAAGTTTGCTTAACATTAGCATCTATAAATTGAAAAATAAACATGAGAAACAGAAAAAAAATTGATGCTGAATGCAGTCCCGTTCCAAAAATAATAACACTTAAAACTGAATACATAAATTAATTGCAAACAGAACAGTCACATTTATCTCATTAAGTTACAATTCCAAAGCATTTACTTTTTGTGTTAAGTAATTATTAACATTTGTAATGTATTTATTGCTTTGAGCAATTGTGTACTAAAAATAATTGCGATAACTCAATACTTAGGGTCACATAACATGTTTAAAAATTAATTTCAATTAATATACTAAAAGAGTTTCAACAAGGTATAATGGAGTGATCAATAAGTTGCTTTCAAACACAAAATACATTACAGCAGGGTAAGATTCTATGGAGGAAGTGGAGTGGAATAAGAGTTCAAGAAGCAAAAGGAATGAAATAAATGGTCTATTAGAGAAGAGTTTGTGCATTTTTTTTAAAAGATCAAAGCAAGTATCGATTTGTTAAGGTGTTTAGGTTACCCATTGGCTATATATTTTTAAGTGACTTAATAGTTTTATTTTAAAATGTCAATGTTTAGGATGGGCTATGCACTTTATCTTTCACAATTATTTTAATTTACAATGAAAACTTTTCTGTGAACTTAAAAAACATGTGAATTTGAAGACCACTGACCTAGACTCCATTAGTACCCACTTGTTTTTGGCTTTCATCCCAAATGTTTCTTCTTGAGACAACTGTTACTGCCCGGGAAGCTGGCATGATCATTGCCGTCAGATGATAAATCTCCCAGCTAGGGGACATAATGTACCTCAGTGGGATAGACAGCAACTCAGATAGCAAGAGTCTTGCAGGCCTGTAGTGTTTGAAAGTCTATCAGATATTATGCTGGGGAAAAAATTAATAAAAAATTTCGAATAACTTCTTGGTGCTAGTCACTGTTCTAGTGCTTTCATTCCAACCTCTGAACAACCACCTGAGGCAGGGATCATCATTCCCACTTCACCAACCATAAAACTGAGCCATAGATGGCTTGTTACCTGCCAAAGGTAGCAGAGATAATAAGGGTCAGAGCAGGGAGCAGCGGTTAAAACCCATTTCTGCCTGACTCTTCAGCCATGGTCTTGCCCATACTCCATGTGACTTCTCAACAACTTGAACTTTGGGGGTGGAAAGGTCCTCTTTATTGGAAACAATTCACACAGGCAGGTGAAGGTTCTCCATGCTGGTTTCCCACCCACCACGGATGCAATGAATGATGACAGGGCTTTTCTGATCCCACTCTCACTCACCCACCAATGAGCTTAAAGAAGTAGCTGATGGACATTCCCACCATTCACAATTCAGGTGGAAATGGAGAAGTTGCAAGCCATTTGAGGAAGCAGTAAGTGGTGGAGTGAAGGTAAGGGTGAGTGCGTTATGGCCATCCAGCTTCCAAGACGAATGTTGGTGATGGAAGTGCTAACAATTCTGCATTCAGCCATTCATTCAATTGTCATTGCCTGCCTACTATGTACCAGGTAATGGATTTGATTCATACTCTGTGTTCAGGTATCACAATTCTGTTAACCTATATACCGGCTCTGTTGTAAAGCAGGACCCGCAGTGAAGGGTCCTTTATGAACATTTCATATGTTCCTTTTCTTAGTTCTCCTGTCTGGATACTGTCTAAAGGCGGGAAGGTTATCTGGTGCTTGGAGGAGCACCGTACATGCAATAGGTTCTCCATGCGTACATTTTTATAAGCCTTCTCTGATTACTCTTTCACTTGGTTTTGGACTCTGAATAATAGAATACAGGTGAACAGTTTAAGGTATGTACATCAACCTGACACAAATCGGGATCTACCGAATTAAAGGAGGCATGGCTCCAGTCTTGGGTGTGTATGCAGTCCTCATGGTGGTGGCATAGGAATCCCAGGTGGTATCGCCTGTCAAAAGTACAGCAAAACAGTTTGAAATGTGGCAAACCAGAACATTTCCGTCGTATGTTGTTTTAATAATTAAAATAATTTTGCAAGAGAAAAAAAGTTTTCGGATAGTGATTTAAAGTCTAAAGGAGCAAAGTCCAACTTGCAGCCTCTTATAGGAAAGAGGAAAGCTCAGTTGAATGAACTGAGTTCCTCCCTGAATAGAAATAAGTCCATTGTTTTTCCTGAGAACTCGTACATGCTATTTTGAAGAGTTCAAGCAACACATTAAAAATATAAAACAGAAAGTTTGTTCGAGGTGCTATCACTTTAGGACGTCCGCTTTGACTTTAGTGACCAACTTCTCATGCATCGTAGTAGATAAACCTATACACACATGACATGATTTTACACAAAGTTTACATGTCCCGTTTTATCCCGGGCCACTTCTCCTCCCTCCTTCCTTCCTCTGCTCCTTATGACCCTCCTCCTCAGCCCTCCTCCCACCCCATGTGAACAACTGTGCTGGTTTCTTTCCATGCTTTGACATCTGCTGATAGAATTATCTAGAGATTTACATATACATATGTAACTACTTTGACATTGGGTTTTAGTTTTCACCATCTCGTTTCACAAAAGTGGGCTCATAATTCACAGAGTGTCTTTTTCTTCTCTCTGTCCCTGAACGGTGTCCTGTTCCCATAGGAACAGCCCTCCAACTCATCCGGAGCAGCTCTAATGCGTTCTCTGTCGGGACCGAGCAGGATTCCGCAGCACGGGTGAGAATTAAAGCGGTGAGCGCGGGTGGGACCAACAAGAGAGGGAAGATAAATGGTGGAGACCAGTCCAAGGGCTGAAGGAATCAGAGGAGCAGTCCGTAAGGACAGAGGAACACCAGGACATGTGGTGTCCCGAAGGCCACAGGGAGGAGGAGTTTCCAGGAGGCAGCGGGGAGGGGTCGCCTGTGGGAAATGCTGCTGGCGGGGTCCAGGAGGACAAAGACAGAGAATCAACCATGGGGCATGCGCTCACAACAACAAAATTTATCTCCCCCAACCTCTCATTGTCCACAAAGTACCACCACACTTCTTGGGAGTAAAGATTTTAAATTTAACTCAGTCGTTCTCTCATTCTTCCTACCTGGGCAATTCACCTGTTTACATTTCACTGGAACCTGGGTTGAAATGGTCCCCTTTAATGTCTGAATACCCTGCTGTGTGGGATCGAGCGCCGCACTGCTAGACCCTCATGGCCACCTCATGGCCTGTGACGTTCCCACGCGCGCATCCTAAATACAATTGCTATAAAGTATTCTTCTCTAATACTTCTTCAGTTTCCAAACAGTCCTAAAATCTATATGCACTGTCTAGCGTATAGGGCCCCGACCAAACATTTAGTTTTTGCTGTCTGTATACTTCTTCCTGTGTCATCTCCCCATCTCCCAGCCAGTTCTTGTTTCTGATTTAACAGGCCCTTGGGTGCAGCCGGGCAGCTGGACCTTCTCCTCCGTGACAGTTTCCCCACCACCTTCTCTCTGGTTGGGATTCACCTCCACCAGCTTCCGCAGGCTAACAGAAGTCTAGCCCCTGCCTGCTCCACCCTATGCCTCTGCTCACACACACTCCGGATGTCCCCACCCAGGTCCCACTCGACGAGAAATGACGTTCTTCTCTGACGCTGCTGGTTTGTGGGAGTCACTTCGTGCTTTCAAGCATTTTGTTCCAACGGCAGAATTAAATGTTCCTTGTTCAGAGAATTCCAAGTATGGACAAGTAAGTGGGAAGAAATTGGGAGGCAGAGTTGCTCTTAAAAGAAACCTTCTCTTAACCTGATTTGAACCTCGGAGTGTGACTCTTGCAAGGCTCAGGAAAGATCCTCTGCACAGAGACTACACAACATTTCACCCTCTTTTTCCTAAAGCAAACAATACTAACCCAGACCAGACCAATTTCCTTCTAGGCCCACATATGCCTCAAAAACCCTGGCAACACAGCATCCAGGCAACATCTCCCCATCAATCACACGGGCAAGCCAGATACACCTCTGGGTATCCCTGTCTGTGACCTTTCCCCTTCCTGAGGACAGGCTGGGGGCTGGCAGCCTCCTATTGCTAAGATCCTATTCCAGAAGGTATCAGGTGGAGGAGAGGCCATGCCCTGCTGCCTCTAGGACCTGAGACCAAATGGACCTCCCTCTCCCTAATTCTAACCCACTTGGATGACTACAATGACGAGATGCGCAATTTCCAGTACATCTTTCTACAATTTTTTGTTCAATGACTTTTCTTACTAAAAGTCTTTACATCAGGTCTGTGTCTATGCTTCCTATTTCCATTGACACAGCTTCTGAGAATACAATGTGATTAGAATTGATCCTCTTCATTAACAGAAATAGTAACTTAAAAATCTATGATCTTAATATTCTAAACACCTGTTTCCAGAATATGCCACTGCCTGTTTTTTTATTCATTCTCGGTGAGTATCTCAGTGTTTTTCCCTGTAATCCGTGTCCACCTACCTCTCTCAGGATTCTGTCTTCCTGTTTCTACCTTCTCTCATTTTTACAGTCAAGTCTGAGCCCCGCCTATGGACCAAGCCTCCTGCTGGACCCTAGGACATAGAGATCCTGTCCTGCCCTCGGGGAACTCCCAGGTGAGTAGAGGAGACAGCAAATCTCCAGTGAGTACAAGCTTATAGATGCGCTGCTGAGCTGTGTGCCATGAGAGCTCCCAAGGAAGGTGCAATTCTTTCTAGGTGGATGAGAGAAGGGGCATTGAGGGTGGGTCCAGGAGGTGCTTCATAGAATAGGAGGCATCTCAGCCAGGATTAAAGTAGGACTTGGACAGGGACCACGGGAGGACGCGGAGTGAAGCATTTTTCAGAGGAAGGAGCATGAGGTATGAAAGTCTGAGACCCGGCAAATGGCCCAATGTGAGCGAGGCAAGGGAAGAAGTGGCCAGTGACGGGTCAGCGAGGCCTGGTTTGCCCTGCTCTACGCTGGCGCTTTATCACCCCTGGAGGCATTCACTATTATGAAAATTTATTACGAGGTTTTGAAAATATTATAAAATAGTAATTAGCAGGTGCATATTATATTACACCTTACAAAGCATTTCCACGTATAGAATCTTGCTTTATCCTCCACAATAGCCCAACAGATGGGCCGGTATGAACAGTACCTGATAATTCTAAGTTTGCCTTGCTGTCGGGAGGATTAAAGGGGACGGTAGATTCAAGCATTTGGAGTAGGCTGAACGGGGACCCAAAAGATACATCCACATCCAAACCCCAGAACCTGCGAATGGTACCAAGTAAGGAAAAACTGCAGATGCAGTTAAGGGTGATGAGATGGGGAGATCATGCTGGATTATCGGTGGGCCCCAAATGCCATTTCCTCGCCCTCATGAGAGGCAGAGGGAGATGCCACACGGAAGAGTAGGCCACGTGACCCTGGAGGTGCAGACTGCAGTGAGGAGCCCACAGGAAGGTTGACAGCCCCCAGAAGCTGCAAGAGGCAAGAAAGAATTCGGCCCCCGAGCTACTCTGGGAGTGCAGCCATGCCAGCACCTTGATTTTGGGCTTCTGGCCTCCAGAATGTGAGATGATAAATTTCCTTTGTTCCAAGCCACCACCAGTTCATGGTTATTAATGGCAGTCCTTCAAACTGATACAGCAATTACAAGCCCATATCTAGTAATAGTTCAATAGCAAGTAGCCCATGGTAGTCATCGTCAACCTCATCTTATTTTGGGATAAAAGCTAGGCAGTGACACCTCAGTCCCACCTTTTGGAACGTGACACTTCTAGCAGTGGAAGATAGAGTGGCAGAGAGAGCCCCAAGATTGGGCACGAAGAGTCAAACTCACCCACAGGAAGGGAAACTTTGGGGGCACAACCAATGAGCCTTGCTGATCAAAGTGAGGTGTCAGTGAAGCACCCTCCCAACTGAGCCTACAAAGTCCAGGAGGACAAGGAGTGTAATTTTGTACATAGTAGTTCGAGGCCCTTCCATGACATCCACATGGAACTATTTGGTAGGCAGTTGGATACTTTAGTTTGAAAATTAGGAGTGAGAGAGAAGATTAGAAAGCCACCGGCACATTTCAGTAGACTTGAAGTCCTCGGTAGAACATGGCCACTGCACAGAGAACCAAGAAGGATAGATCTTGGAGGACCCTCACATTCCCCAGACAAGAAGGGGGAGAGGAGGCAGTGAAAGAAACCAAGACAGGTGACTGGAAAGAGCGGAGGAGATTGAAAAGGAATGTAATGGGGGAATCCTGGGAAGGAGGTTCTCTCCCCGCCTCTTTTTTTGGTTTGTTTTGCCTTGTTATCATATAGAAACAGAGTGTTTTCAATATATTTTGTACGAATTAAGTGTTTTCATTTTCTACCCTTAATTTTACAAAGGGATGAATGGAATGAAAATATGCATTTTGTTCTTTCTGGCAGGTCTACAATTCTAGGGTATTTGCAACTGAACGGTTCCCACAGCTCTGTAGCCACCATGGAACCACAATTACCCAGCTAGAGGGCTGCGGTGGGTTATTATTGCCATGAGAAAGGCCAGGATGGAGCTGACTACACAGTAATCACGCCACTAGCATCACAGCTAGAACGCTCTCCCTCCGCTGACACAAAAAGAGGACTTTGTAAACCTGCTGCATTTGCATGCAAAATTAGCATCAAAAGCTCCACCTCTGTTAAATGCAAAATCTCATTGAAAGAGAAATCAGCAAAGGTTAGGTAGAAGTGGCAGCTGAATGCCAAGTTCCCAGCCTCTGCTACAGCCACGTGGGGGGAGGCTGCCTCTGCAGATCCACTTAGGGGTCCTGCATTCTGCACTTCCCAGCCTTCTGTGCTCTTCCCTAGATCCTGCGTGGGGATGGGTCTCTGCTGGGTCTGCTGTCTTCAGAGCCTCTGACTTCTGTACCTTCTTTGTCTTTGACCTCGTTCTCCTGGAAAGGCACTATTCTCTCCCTTCTCCTGAACGCTCCTAGGCACTTCGTGGGGGGTGTTTAAAAACACCTGAGCGGTTTAGGGAGAGGATCTGCAGAAATACGGCGAAGGGCTGTAGCGGTCTGACTCCCAGACTCTCCATGAATTGAGTCCCACCCATAAGAGGAAGGCAAACACCCTTGCAGACAGAAGCACCTTTGCTCTAGGGTACCCCATTCCCAGGAAAAAGCCTGCCCC